CGTGTTTCCACCGTTTCTAAGATCTCTCTGTTGTCTATACTCTTATGAGCTCCTTATATCCAAAGTCTTTAACTATACCACTACTCCACCACCAACTTGACCTCGACTCCTGTCAACATACTCAGTAACTTGACTCAACTTGGTTATATATATCCCTTGGCCTCGACAACTCTCTTAAACACACCCATCCACCTCCTACACACTTCACCCTTTCAACTTCACGAACATGACAGCCGCCATGTCACAACCGACCGTCACGGTCAAGGATCCCTCTGCAGTACGGAAGCGCAGAAGACGTGCTCCTGCTGGTGGCGCTTCTGATGATTGTTTCTCCTGCTCCAAGAAGAACATCAAGTGTGACCGTAGAAGACCATACTGCTCTCAGTGTCTCGAGGTTGGCAGTGAATGTTCTGGTTATAAAACACAACTTACTTGGGGAGTTGGCGTGGCCAGTCGAGGCAAGCTTCGTGGCTTGTCTCTGCCCATCGCAAAAGCTCCTCCTGTTACCCGTGAACCTAGGAAACACTCGACTGCATCATCAAGAAGCTCTGCCATTGCTCGTTCAGGGATGGAAGATGAAGTCAGCCGCATGCGCCAAGGCCCCATCGATATTCCTGCAGTGACACAAGTCGCTTCTGCACCTACAACACCATTTGCCATGGCAGGATACGACTACCTCTCTATCCCCCATCCTGAGCATGCAGCCCCTATCCACCAAGGAAACTGGGGTTCGGTCAACTATTCTACCGCTCAAGAAACAGCACACAATCTTCATCGATTCCCGGTGCCTCTTGTCACAGAAAACCTCTCATCTTCTATCGATCCCCTTACTCCTGACGTTGGCTATGTATCGCCCATGAGCCAGTCATATACCAGAGACGACGTCTCTTATGTCCACAGCCCGTCCTACATGTACGACAGCTATACAACAGGCACTAGCTCTCCTGGCCCTCAGAGCCCCCCAGCATCCCTCTACGCCGAACACGCAAGGACCTTCGCCCCGACCTCATGCCCCAGTCTCGCCCATGCTCCTTCAGAAATGAGCTCCAGTCTTCACTCGCATACCGACACCTTTGACTCGCAAATGGGCAACAGGATGGTTCGGGATTGTGATTCATTCGGTAAGCTCAGATGGAACCAATGAATTCCTTGGTTCTAACGTGTGCAGGCGTGCCTGAAGTCGATACATATGGCGCCAGCTACAGCTCGATGCCGATCTCCTGGCAGTCTCCATCGATGCAAGATGAAGATGTTAAATCTCATCATTCGGACTTTGCTCCCTCGGGTTGGCCAACCGCTTCCGAAAACCATTCTGTTCATGTGAGCCAGGACCTCATCTCCAAGATGCCCTTTTTCATGGATTACTATGAGAATATCATGTGTCCCTCTATGGTCTTTATCGACGGGCCACACAACCCATTTCGAGACCATGTTCTGCGACTAGCTGTAAACAGCCAGAGTTTGAGCCATGCAATTTGTGCTCTTGCATCCTGCAATCTCCGCATGAAGAGGAAACTGAGTCTCGGACGTGATACACGAGATCTTTCTGAGAAGTTGATGGCTGACAAACATGCCGCCGAAGCCATGGCAGACACTCAGCCCGACGACCTGTCCCTCGCCGAGGAATACCAACACCGTAACCTGGCTGTGCACCTATTAAACGAGCAACTCAACGACCGGACCAAAGCAATTCACGATTCAGTCCTTGCTACGATCCTCCTGCTATGTCATTATCGCATGGTTGAGTCCGGTATCGCCAAATTCCACACTCAGTTTGCCGGTGTCAGCAAGATTCTTGCTCTTCGAACTCAGCATCTTGCAACATCTAGCAATTCTGCCTGGATGGAGGCTATTTTCAACTACTTTGACGCCATTTCTGCCAGCATCAACGAGCGCGAGTCCCAAGTGTATCCCGGTTTCAGTGGGGTGTCAGACTCTCAACTCTTGCCTGTCGGAGCCGAGAACCTGGTGGGGTGTGACCGCGAGCTCTTCAAGACCATTAGCAGACTCGGACGCCTGAATCTACTGTCTCAGAATCGCTCCGTACGAAAAGCAGCTGCCGCATATGGAACTCAGGAAGTGCCTGAACGATCTCCGTCCTTGTCTTACATCTCCCCACTAGGTCACGCTCGGCGAGAATCCCTCACAGGGTTCAAGGTGAACGATCAGATAGGGGACATGAGCAGTATCACTAGTCATGGCCTCGGCGATGGGCGATCAAACACGGGAATCCATGAGGACCGAACTGCGCCAACAAGTGCCCCGGCCGCGGCTTACGAAGAAGGTCGCTCCTTGTTTTGGCATGAGTGGAAAGAAGCACGGCTGGCCCTCCAAAATTGGAACTTCGATGCTCCCAGGGTGAGCGCCTCACTTCCTGAGCCCTGTACACAGAGTCAACTGCGAGACCTGGAATCACTCTCCGAGGCTTTCCGCTATGCCGCCCTGTTATACACGGAGCGACTAGTGAGCCCATCGCTTCCTTCAGGCCACCAGAGTATTCAGAGCCTTGTCAGCCAAGTGGTCTATTACGCAACGAACCTGGACACAGGAAGTAGCGCCGAGAAGTTTCTACTCTGGCCCCTTTTCGTTGCGGGCTGCGAGTGCGTCAACGAATTACAGCAAAACATGGTGCGGTCCAAGTGCCGTGATATCATGTTCCGTTCTGGTTACATGAACAACTTGGCGGCTCTGGAGGTGCTGGAGAAGCTGTGGGCCCAAGATTGGGCGGGAGAAGAGCCGTTGATGTTGGGGACCAGGACCGGGGATCAACGCGGACCGTTCAACTGGACTAAATGCATCGGGGGACCCGGAGTGGAGGTGGAGTGGATCATGTTTTGATGTGCAGGGATGTTCGGCGATTGACATGTGAAGGCGTTTGTGCTCGGACTGAACTGGGCTGAGATGATGGGATGGGAATCAGGGATTTGGATCAAGTTGCAAGGGGCTGTCATGAATTGCAGACAGGCATGCGAGCGTGGGTAGGGGTTTGTGAAGTTGGCCGGTCTTGTTAGCCTAATGGTGTGTGTGTGTGTGTCATATTCGGATTCGGGACTACTGTGGGATTAAGTTTGGGAGTTTAGCTTGATGAAAAGGCTAGTATCATCATCATCATCTTGTATTATGTAACGCAGGCAACGAAACACAACAGCATACGGAACGGTTACGTTAGAAAGGAAGCAAAGCAAGGCGTTCCGGTTTAGCATATTAGGACAGGCCTTCTGGAGTTGGGTACGTACTGAAAATGGTCCTAAGAGACCGAGATTAAAACGAAGATTCACCTGAAAAGTGTCAAACTATGACTTCTGTTAGTCAATGATCAAGGAGTAGGGAGTCGAGAGTGACCCTCACATCCAGGATATGCCGAGGGTGCTAGTGAAGCCATTGTGAGGGACGATGCAGGATTTGGCAGTTGCAAAGACGTTACAGGGCTGGACTAGGTTGAATACAGCCTCTAATTTTCAGCCTCCTTTTTTTTATTTCCAGCTAGCTTTTACTGACTGTACCACGTAGTACTCCTAAAAGCGAAAGGTCAATGTCTGGCTTGCAGCGGCGCCACCGCGGGTTGACTCCGCTGTACCTGGCGGAGCCGGCCGAAGGTGAAGGGCTTTACAGTTCAGAACAAGAGCACAGCTGGACGAGGATTGATAAGGCGCGGTTAGATCGTTGATTGGCCAAGACTGAGACACGACGAGACGTCAAAGTGCCCAACCCACTATCAGATATTTTTTTGGCCGATTCAAGCCAGAGTCTCAAAGTATGAGTGTGAGTGTGAGTGTGAGTGTGAGTGTGGGGATGGAGATGGGAATGGGTTCAATGATCGACATTAGGGATGATTTACGGTAATGGAGCTGGGGATGGGTCCCTTGTAGGTTGGTTCCATTCCATTGCTTGAACTCTGTCAAGTACCGGTACGGTAGTAGTTGTTGTGTAAACGACAGATATAGTTACGTATTCTACACCGGGTTACCACCTTGCACCACGTTGCGCTGTCACTTGGAATGAGACATGCAACAGTATGATAATCTGTCAATGCAACGCCAAATGGAGATTACAAGGCTATTGCAATGCTTATTCCCACATCCAGATATACGTATGTACATAGTCATAAGGAGGTTTTTATTATGATCGAGAACTGAGACGGTCAAACAAACGCAGAAAAATATCCTAGTCAGCGATCTTCCTCCTCAACGTAACATCACAAGCAAAATCCAAAAAGCTAAAAGGATCCTCCCTTCTCTCCACATCCATTCGGCCTTGTCTCCTGGAGCTAGTAGGGATGGGCAAAACGCCACGACATGTAACAATCCTGCTGAGCCTTGCTGGGTGCACAAGGATCGGGGGGGAAGGCTTCGGTGAGAACGGCGAACGATCAAGGGGCACGACACAAAAAAAAAAAAGGCATAGCGAATGCTGGTTTCAGGAGTGAAAACAGACATGGCCGAGGCTGGGGGGGATGGGGTGGTTGGTGGTGTGCATACAGGGCAGACTAAACCTGAGGCTGATGAGGTTTGTCATTCTGAGATTGATGCTATTCCCGACGAGGTAGGTCAAACACAATTTAGGATGGGCTCCTTTGTGCTGATTAGGTAGGACGGGATAGGGTGGGATGGGGTGTAAGACATTAAAAGAATACATCTAGAAATGAGAAATGAACTATCAGGGAAGGGGAAGGGGAAGGGGAAGGGGAAGGGGAAGGGGTGGAAGTGCAAGATAGATGGGAGATGGGTATGACCAACTGCCTAGTTAACGTGGAGTTGTCATGGGGTTAGATTCAACGTTACGCCCGCAATCACATGTACGTTATCAATCTGAGGATAGGTAGTTTCGATTTCCTATACCTCTTACTTGAAACTATGCACTTACAGAATGATGCGGGCGAGCAAGCGTGGGTGTATTGCAACGCTGGGGGAGTTTGTGTTACGGCATCTTAATCAAAGTTGATAACCGCGTCTGCCGACCAGAGCTTCGGGTCTCCTCCTCGAGGCCCGCCTGCTTGGTACCTAGGGTGCAACTACCGACTCAGCGAGACGTGGGTAGTCATTTGTCGTAACAGTGTCATGGAGTTGTTCGTCAGGGAGTGGCTTTGATGTCGGAGGTTGCTCAGTTACAGGCTCCTCCTCATCATCATCATCCTCGCCATCTTGGATCCAGTCCATCATGTCAGGGGACTCGGCGCTTTCCTTTGTCTCAGGTGTATGTGTATTCTCAATCTCAAAAAACAAGGGGGGCTGTGGTCGACTTGGCTTAGGGAGCTGTCTCTCGCTTGCTCGGTCATAATGTTGCTCGGCGAATTGCTCTGGGCCAAGTCAGATTCTCTCCTCTGTATTACCCCTAAAGGCTTTACTCACCACTGATCGTCCAGTAGGTTTCCTCTGGCTGGTCCTCGAAGAGCTCCTTAGAACATCGTAGTCCATCTTTGATCACGACAAGATCCCAAAGACGCAAGCTCCTCAACTGGTCTATCCTCCTCATGGCCTTGCTTCGAACCCATTTCCTCGCAACCGTTACATCGTACAGCATAAGGCCATACTCATACGTCCACTCTGCCACCCACTGGATCTCCTCGAGCTTCATGGCGCGGGCACTGTCGCGGAACACGTTGTCGAGGCACTCGCGGTTCTTCAATACGATGCTCAACATGTTCTGTTGCTCAGGGGGATAGTCCAGGGGGACTCCGAGTTGAAGATTTGTCCATTTGTGGCATCGCTGGACGAGTTCTGTGGTGTATTCACGTCTGTGGCAGTCCTCACAGAGCCAGAGGTAGCTAGTGACGACGAGGACTCTTTGACACGATGGGGGGCAGAGCTCTTTGCAACCTTGACTGCATCCGACCTTGAAGAGGAGCCTGTGCATGCATTGCTCGTACCGAATGATGGCGACACCGCAAGTCATATCGCTGTTCAGTGTCACTCGCTGTTCAGTTATAGGTATGCGTCGTATAGTCAGGGGGGAGAGAAAAAGATATGGTGACGAGAGCTTCACGTTGTTTAAGTAGATTTGGAGAGGCACTGTAGAGTTTAGGTTGTTACAGAAGCGTTGAAAGTACCGCCTTTCGCGACTTGACGCCAAACGTCCTTTGGCAGTTGAGGTAGGGTAAGGTAGGTGCCTTGGTTACAGTTGAATCGGTTGTCATCGTTGAGGGCAGGCTCGTTTGGAAGTAACCACAGAGCAACCCGCTGCCTCTGAAGTCATCACCACCACATATACTTCCCCATTTGCCAGTGCGTGTGCTGTTCGCAAGATATTGTGTGGAAACTGTTGAACTCTCACACGCATTTGACCGTGAAAGGGGCGAGTGATAGCGAATGAGCACTCTGGCTTGACGAAGAGACGGCAAAAGCCATTGTTGCCTAGAAGTTAAACGCGTCTATCACCATGTTAACCGAGTTCTTTAAGCATAGAGGCGTCGTCGTGCAGTAAACTTTGATTCCCATTTTGTTCTTATGACTCGATATGGTGATTTTGATACGAGGGTATTAGGGTATTTCATGAAAACCAAAAAAAAAAAAAAACATTCCGAAATGCGAATATACCAACAAGGTAGAATACACCCACCCACCGAAGTTCACACCTCAACACCATGCCACAAGCGCCGAGATATTCGGTACAATGCCCAAGCACACACGGTCATGAAATAAACTCACTCAAACCAAATCACGCACCCGCTCGACCCCTTCTGTCACGCCATTTCCCCAGACTACCTCGCCCTGTTTCCCAGCCTTCCCCTCCCCATACTTCTAAGACCCCGCATGTGATGCGAGAGTCAGTTCAGGAAAATACCGCGAAAGCTTTCTAGGATTATGCACGTCTACCCTGGCTGGCTCTTCTGTATCCGAGATCTGGTCGTAATCGTTTGAACTTTGGCCGTGATTGCCATCCAGCAGCTGGACAGATCGTCTCTTAACTTTGATGTTTCCCTGCGCTGGGGCTGGTTTGTTGCCTTGTTCGTTTGGAGGGGTTGTCTGTGCACGTGGAGGCTGTGCTTTTGGTTGAGGCACAGGTATCGACTCGCACACAGCTGCTACCTTTCTGGTTTGGCGGCACATATCGGGACTGAGGCTCCTAGGTGGGCCAAAGTTGAGAGTGCTTGTCATCATCTTGCGGTAACCCTCAAGCTCCTGTTGCTGCCGATCAACTCCTGCAGGACTAGCGACGTCACTTCGGTTCTTCTCGTTTGATGTAAGTCCCTTGGCCTGCACAAATGCACTGGAGCGAACGTGGTGAGGATCACGTTCGTAGTACTTGTCGATTATTGGATGGACCATGACGGTCTGTCTGTGGATTGTCAAGATGGAATTTGTTGGTACATTGACCCAATTCTCTGCTTCAAGTCAGTCCCTCCCCTTCAATACCCAGATCATTTTGCATACCTCTCTCAAACGTCAGGGGCTCGCTTGCAACAAGTACAATGTCAGCGCCCCGATCCTTGCGCTCCATCTGGTATTGCTTGTCACTTGCAGATTGTGTTCGTGTTGTCCATTGAGTTCCGGAAGAATAGTACAGGCTGGCCGCCTCATCCTTGGAACTGCTGATGTATCGAGTGCAGATCACGCTATGACCATCGGTGACAGCAAAGTTGAGCAAACTTCTGGTATCGACGTCCTCGTTCTGCAGAATGCTTTCGGGAATCGCATCGGTCATCTCGTTGATCTGCGCGATCGTGCGCTTCATAGCCTCTCGAAGAATAGTCGGACCAAAGCCAGTTTCGGGGCAAGCGCTTGGGTCGTGGCCTAGTCGCTCAAGAGTATCGAGAAAGAGGGCAAATGCCCACTCGCTATCCGTTCCGCCTTTGACACCCAGATACCACTTATCAGCGAGACGCTCGCCCAGGCGACGCTTGATGTATTTCCATCCACCCAGACCGCCATTGTGCATCCACATCAGACTACCGTGTGTGAAAGGGTGGCAGTTGTCTTCGCTTAGGGAACCTTCGGTCGTGGCACGAACATGGCCAAAGATTAGGCGGGAGGCGGTCTTTGAAGCGATTCGCTGCAGATTGGTGCAATTCCAGGCGGGAATGGTCGATGTGAAAAGGCAAGGCGCTGAGCCCAGCTTAGGGTCGGTGTAGAAGCCTATGCCGAAGCCATCTGCGTTGTTCTGACCTCGTCTCGTATCCTATAGATGGTTATATGTGTCAGTTATGACATGACGTTCCTTTGATTGTCGGTCAAAGAAATTGATTGAGGTTGACCCACGAGACGCAACCGAGAATCAAATGATTGTTTGAGAATAGAATGAGTAGGATCGAGAATCAGCTTTGATAGGAGAATCTCGTCACTCCCTTTATAGACCTAAAAGAGTTACGGTGTCAGTGTTGTGTTCTGCGTGTGACCAAGAAGCCGGCTTCGGAGGTATAGATAAGGGATCTTGATTATAGGGGACTCACCAGAAAACGGCACATGGTTTGACCTTGTGCGCGCAAAGAAATCAATCTGGTCCGGAGAAAAATAACAAATAGGTCAAGAGGGAGGACAGGTGCGAGAAAGAATAATAAGAGAGAGGTGTAGGAACAAAAATGTCTGGAGAAATAGGGGATTGCGTATTACGGAGACGGGAGGACAGTGATTGTGAGAGAGTGATTATGGTGAGGGATGACACCATTGGCCCTGGAATTCTCAAGGGTTGCGTTGCTTCTTCCAGTGGATGCCAGGAGTGGCTATCGGTGAACGGGCCATCGGCTTTGGCGGGAGACACAGGTTAAAGGTAAGACAAGGCTGAGAGGGAGGGGGGGGAAGCGGCCAATGGGGGTGAGTGAAAGTAGGGGCACTTTAAAGGATTAAAGGATTTGAGGATTTGACTGACAGAACCAACGTGAGATGGCTACGATACTGCATGAAAGCAATTGGTGCTGATGAGTTGTCATATGCAGTTATAGGTGCCACATATATGCATTTCCCTAAAATACATGTTTTTATAGCATTAAGTACCTGCAGTAATCAATCACTGATAGCACCATTCACGAGGCTGCTTCTATCCTTGCATATGAATTCGAAATTCCGGGGAATGGCCCGCTGATAGTGGAGCATATCACGGCTCTCGTCAGTTGAACTGCCTTCAAGTCCCGTTCAAAGTGTGACTCAACAACTCAATTCTTTTACTGCCTGTTTTCGCTTGAACTCTGGTTATGACTCAATTGCTTCTCATCACGTCAACGACCCCCTGCGAAGCCGTGATTCATCACTTGTCTTGGGTTAAAATGATCATTCAATCAATCTCATATTCAGGGGGAAAAAAAGAAAATACAGGCCTGCAGCCACCGCCAAAAGCGGGAGTCGCCACATCCGCGCATCGTTGACCCTTGCAGCTAAATAGTACAGCTCTGAGCCACATTTGACGTCGGCTAGTTGCACTGACGTCTTCTCCAACTGTGGCGCTACTAGGAGCAGCCATTTTACGCGAGAACATCGCCCATTTACACGCTCCGCGGTTTCGCGACCGCGTCTTTGGCCTATGACATTGGCATGGTCCACTCTCGTCTCGCTTCAACCCCATCCCAGCCCGGCCTTTTGGCTCCTCTGGCAACCAAACTAATTCTGCAATTAGAGCCTCTTCTTTCCACCATATTCAATTTTCGACATGTTCTGATCTGTGTCTCTGCAAGAATTCGTCTCATCAACTTCGTGAACTGTGACCTCTTCACCAGCATATATCGTCAGACTCGACTCCTTCAGCCCAGCCCAGCCCAGCCCAGCCCAGCCCAGCCTCTCGCGGCTTCAACAGGGCATCGTCGTCTGTCATGTCCTCCGATGGCCCGGATACTCTTCCAACGCCTGCGTCATCGTCACGACCAAAAGGAACACCCTCCATAACACCTCGGCGCTTTAATCGCTTCTGGCAACCAAGACAGTTTCAGACTCAGCCGTTGCCAAAGTTTAGAACTGCTCTTGGGAGCTTGGACGAGTCTGATACTAATCAGCAGCCCATCTCACCTCAATCGCTTTTTCATAGTGATCCTATTTTACCTTCTTCTCCAAGTGATAGATTCCAGGATGAATCACGCAAGAGAAAGCTTCAGGCCGAGGCTTCGGGTGATGAGGCTGTCTTCAAGAGGCCAACATTGAACTTGGATGACATGCCACCTCTTCGGTTCAGCACCACAACTACTTCAAGCAGCACACTTCCAGGCAATGATAATGAAATTCAAATGTCAGAGAGCCAAATTAGTCTGGAGAGTCTTGATAGCTATAGAAAAGCTACCCTGGTAAGTTTGGCTTGGTCCGAAATTGCTCACGCGATCTCAACTTACACCACATCAGAGCAGTTTCTTCAAGACCAGCCGTGGAGTTGCTCGAACACCTAAAAAGTCACCCTTTCTCATTAATACACCCAGTATCACCGAGGAACCTCAACCTGTCGATGTACGTTGTTATCTCCAGAGTCCATGGCGTCACTGACATCATCACTAGGAGCTAGCCAACTACGCACCTAGACCAATCCGAAAATTCGGCGATAGAGGCGTTGCATCACAATTACTCGACCGAGAGCATGGACTTGGATATTCAACTGGCCAACCATATCTTCACACACCAGCATGCGACCCTCGAATTGAGACTGCAAGGTTTTACAGCCGTTGCATCGATTCTTATGAATGTCTAACTCCTAGTGGCAGCCGTACCATACCCTTCTGCCTTACAAGCACTCACAATGCCCCCGTGACGGCTGTCGGTGATGAAGAAGGTTGTGTTAGGTTCTTCGACACTTCTCCAAACGATGATCCCAACGAGGAAAAGGACTTGGGCGTTCACTCGGTTCATGACAATGCCATCTGGGATATGGACTTTTCCCAAGATGATATGCGTCTTGCGACTACAGCTGGTGATGCAGCTCTGATTATGGATGTTACAACCAAGTCTATTGCTGCCAGGCTCGCAGATGGCCATTATAACTCGACTCGACAGATTGCTTGGCAGAAGGGTCAATCTATTGGCAACGTATTGACAACATCAGACAAGGCTGGTCGAATTCGTCTGTGGGATCTGAGGTGCCCTCACTCTCATGTGAGAAGTTTCTCAACAATCAGTAGCAGCGAGGCAGGTCGTCGAACCGTCACTGTTCGAGATGAGACCATCAGACCATTCCAAGCCTCGACCGTGAACACTCTTGACAACACCCATGAGCGTACTGCCCATGGTAAGACCTCTCCTGCTTCTGTTACTGCAATTCAATGGCTTCCCGCTGGTCGTGAACATCTTTTGCTCTCCGCTTCTGAGGCCGAAGCTCTTGTCAAGCTCTGGGATCTTCGGTACATCAACCGTCGCCACCAGGAAAAGAGCACACCTCTCTCGGCTACCACCGTCCCCTCCAACCACGCCTGGCGTTCATATGGTATCACTTCTCTGTCTCTCAGCAGTGATGCCGACCGTATGTACGCAGTGTGCAAAGACAACACCATCTACGCTTACTCTACGTCTCATCTCATGCTTGGCCACGCTCCTGAGCTCAAAGACCTCGCCACTAAGAGGAGACCCATCGAAGCCCAAGGCCTAGGACCTCTTTATGGTTTCAAGCATGACTCTTTCGCAGCACGAACATTTTTTGTCAAGTGCAGAATACGACCCAAGGGCTTCTCCCATTCATCTGACCTCCTTGCAGTGGGTAGCTCTGAGTCTTCTGTCGTACTCTTCCCCACTGACGAGCGATATCTTCGATCTGTTTGTGCCCAGCGCGCTCACCTCCTTGATCCACCTGGATCTGCACCTACACCCTCTCGCTCATTCTCATCTGCCACAGGCGCTGAACCCACCTCCTCCACAATCCCCATTTTCCGCAATGGCACAGCTCTTGTCCATGGGCATCAACGTGAAGTCTCAAACGTCAGTTGGAGTTACGATGGCAAATTAGTCAGCGCGTCTGACGATTCCATCGTACGTCAGTGGCAGGAGGATGAAGGTCGGGCTCGGTACCTGAGACAAATCGGAGATTTTGGTGGTGAGCGATACATGGCGGGCTGGGCTGATGTGGGTAGTGAATGGGATGACGAAGATGATGAGTAACGAGTTGATAGCATGTTGCAGTAACGCATGGCGTTTCTTTGATATTATACGATACCCTTCAGCCAACATGGGCGTTTCAAACATGTATGTTAGTTAGCAGAGCTCTCCACAGAGACTCGAGCACACAAGCGGGTTCATGAAGGGCATTTACAGATAGCATTCACGAGGAATGACATTTAAAAAGGTAACATGCACGAGTTGGAATTACAGAATAATTTTGTTCAAGAATATATCGTTTAGGTATTTGTGACGCAAACTGACTGTCTCTGAATCTAGTTTCGTAATCGTTTCTTTATAGAACGCTAAAAGGCCATGAACGGGGGTATCGAGTACAATCGTGTGCGTGTGCTCTAGGTATAAAAATGCAACCGACTCCAGGTATAGACGTGTTTCCCCCAATGAGGGTTATCCTGAATCCTTCAACTCCTTAAAACGCCAAACAAAATGCAATCGCTGTCTGAAACAACTTCTCCTCTCATGCTTCAATAATCATTACTTCGCGGCCACGCCTAGCCGAGCACAATGCTCCCAGCAGGATAACACCAACGGTCAATACTATCAACCAGTTGAAGAGGCTCATACTATCAAGCTTCTTGGACGCAACTTGAAGACAGTCTTTCAACTCGTGCTTGGCCGTGTTTGTTCTGGCTGGCGGGCGCATTGGTCGCGGCAAGGTCTTGTCGAATCTCATAGACTTGGAAAAGGCTGGACAGAGTTCAATGGCTGCAGCATCATCCTTGGAGAGACCAGGATGGCCGATCGGGAGCTTAATCCCACTCTCCGGCTCCACTGTCGATGCGGTTGCACTGTAGTTCCAGATCTTCCAGACTAATTTAGTGCCGCTTGTTGGTGCAAGCTTTGTAGATCGCTGAATTCTGTCTCTTGCGATAGAAACACTGTCCCTGAGACGAGAGCGAAACGGGTGCAGTTGGTCGACCAAGTCGAGTAGTGACGAGGTCATACTGCCGCCACTTTCTTTGCGCGCTGGGTCCTCACAGACCATGTCGAGCTGCTGAACCAAAAGTGTCATGTTGTCGAAAATGCAAATCGACTCTTGAATAATATCCTGCTTCTCGCGTGATGTGAGTTGCCCCTCCATGCTAGCGAGTCGTCGCTTAAATTCCCGTTTCAAATCTTCCCCGTCCTCGGGAGTCTGGAAGTGGAAAAATCGGAGAGGCATCGTGTGAGTCGCATGGCAGTGAAAGTCGTCTATCGGGACCTCTTCGTCGGACAAGCCACTTGCACGCTTAGTTGGTCTTGATATCTCTTCACAGGGGAGACGGTTTGGCTGAACTGGAGAAGGTAGCCGGTCCCAAAAGTCGTCTCCAGCTGATTCGAGTGTAGCTCTGATAAAACGGCCACCAGCAAAGAGTGCCATGAACAAGATGTAGGAATAAGCCATCAGCACATGAGGCCTATGTTGGACAGTTCTTTTGATGTGCTGTATGAATTCCCCCAATCGACCATTTTCTTCGACAAGCCGTAACTGCTCTTCAACAGTATCGTTGGACCACCCCGCCAAATTGGCAATGTCGGCCTTGAGACGATCCGAACGCATTAATCCCGGAAAATACATTTGTTGGAGTACCGATTGCATCCTGCTGCAACTTGACAGCTCGTGAAGATCGGAAGCTGGGAATGCAGTTTCTGCTGAGTTTGGCGGAGTTTCCAGCTCGCAGGTCTCGTCGTCCTCCCCGGGCAAATCTACAGGCAATCCCGACTCGAGTATGTCGCGCCATAGCGTCTCAAAAGCCAGATAGATGGGTGTAACGTGGAGCAGGCCAGTGATATAAGCAGATGAATCAGTAGCAAGAGGAGGCAACGCAAGCGGTAGCCGGGCGATAATAAGTTTGTTAAGCTTTGCGTGCGCCGATCTTGTGGCGATGGCGACAGACTCGGCTAAGGAGAGGTCATGTTGGCGGTGTTGAGGTTCGGCCTGGGGTTGGGGTTGGGGTTGAGAGTCGGACGCAGGTTGAGGCTGAGGATGTTGTGAGACGTCGGCTTGGAGAGAAGCCATCTCCGTTGGAGTTGACTGGGCTGCTCGGCCACCCTCAGGCCTGGACTTCAAGTAGACGTGAGGATTGGTTTTTATTTGCAGGTTGAGGTTTAGGTTATTGGTGTGTAAGCACTTGGTTGTCAAAAAAGGTTGACGTAGGGACAGAAAATATTCCACGTAAAGAGTGAGGAAGACAAGATGATGAGGACTAAGGTCGAACCGGAAATCGGTCAGTTCAGGTTAGGCAAAGTGAATGTAGGGTTTTGAAGGAGGAGGAAGAGTCGATTTCGGTCTGGCCTGGGTCAAGATGGAGGAGGACCCTGCAAATGGAGATGAAGGAGGCGACATGAACGATATTACAAGCGGAGCAGGAGCAGGAGTAGGTATGATGACATGCCTTCCTCATGGAAGATTTAATTATGATAATGGAGGGGAATGATTCAGAGCCTCTAAAATTCGAGTCGAGTAATTAGGTGCCCCATTCACCGTTCCTTATGACTCCTAAAAGCTGTCTCCAAGGCCTAAAGGTAGAGAGAGCTTAAGCTATCATCCACAATCAGCTGCTTATCAAGCCACACTACGAATCAATATCGATTCACGCATAATGCAAAACGCCGCAATTCTCTGATTCCCACCAACGCCACATCAGGAACAAGGGCACTGTAGATCCCCCTCATGACAAGGGCCCATGACACGGAGTGCTGCTGAAAAAAGAAGCTCCCCCACTTGGAGACGTGAAGTCATGATCGGAATTTTGGCGTGCCATCGGCAGTGGACCCGCTGGAAACAGGGATCCAACGCCAAAACGCTCCGGAGCTCTGGGTCGGACAGGGAATAATGTTGAACGGAGCTGCTCCGGGCCAGGACAAGCATTCTATCGTTTGAGCAGAGAGGACACGAGAATATCTAGTCGACATGAATTTTGATTATATTTCAGTCTCTCAGCTTCAAAGAAGCAAATATCCATTGTCAACGTATACTATTACGAGTACTGCTGAGCTGTCAATTGTTGTAAAAGCAAAGATAACCTTGACGAAAACATCAGCCACCGCTAGATATGATACGATTTCCCGCAGCTTGCATATCTAAGTGACATCCTTCACAAAATGCAGTATAATTGGTCATCTAGGGGAGGAAAGAAAACTCAGGACCTTGATTCTAAGTGACAAGAATATTTAGGTGATATAGCCCTAAGCTTAGGATGACTTTTACAGAGTTTATTTTGACACCCCTTATCAAGGTCTGTTGTTTTCTTGCCCCCCGAGGGTCATCTCATCTTAAGACCCGGCTGCCTCAAACCCTTCCCCGATCCGAACCCCGGTCGAGGCGCATGGTCCCGCCCGAACTTTCGATTCGATCTTCACAGATCATCGTACATGGCCCAAGATCGAGAATATAACTAAGAAGTTCAGGGTCCAGAACCACGGGACCCTCAAGACCCTGCACGATCAAGACTTATTTCCTGCAATTTTCTAGATCGGGAAATCTAACATTCTAAATCAAGCCCTTAACTCCATATCTCCATGACTGAACCGCTCGTCTAGCCGTATCTTGCGGTTGAAACGCCCTGCATCCTGTGCATCACTTGTCCCTCCTGTCCCGTAACTTGCTGTTGAAAGCTACAAACGCCTCAAAATTCCGTAAGCTCATGTATGTCGTTATCTTCATGACCCGTACACTTAAACTCCCACCGATCTCTCCAAGTCGTCATCCTTTTTGGGTTCCTCCGCATCGTTGCTCTCTCGGCTGACCACAATAAATGAAACAAAAACAACTGCAGCACCAACCCAATAGGTAAAACTCGAATATTGCTGATATTGCAAGATCTCGCCAATCAAAGACAAGGGTATCGTGAGAGATAAGCCAACCGTCACCACAAGGGGTGTCGTCATGAGCAGAGCGAGGGCCCATGATATGTCACTGATGAAGGAAGACACAGCGTTGAACTGAATGCGTGTTAGTTTTCTGATAACTCGGCGAAACCACAGAAACCTACAATAATGATGCCCCAAAGTGTGCTGCTGGGTGGTAATTCAAACTGGTCACGGTTAGCTCACAGTCACATCACGACTCGAACAAGACTCACTGGTTCCAAGCCTGTCCAATGCAATATGAAGAAGATGGGCCAAAGCAGAACCACGTTGAAAACACCAACAAGTCCGAAGAACATCTGCATATCAACCTTGTCCTCATTCGGGACCTTGCGCTTCATCACAGTCACATAAAGACCATAAATCACGGCACTTAGAAGCGCCATTGAATCCCCAACCGCGATTTGTGTAGGTGACTTGTGCGGAAACGACCCTCTATCCTCATCGCTTTTGCCGGTCAAATCCACAGTCGAGATCAGAATCACTCCTGCTAGGGAAGCTCCTACACCCAAGATCTTGGCTGTCGAGAACCGCTCGATTCCGAATATGGAGCAGAAGATAAGAGTCCAGACACTACTCGTGGATGTCAGGATCGTAACGCTTGCGACGCTTGTATATTCGAGACAAGCTGACGCAAAATAGTTCGCCGAGAACCACAGCATGCAGAACTCGAAGCTCAGAACGGCAGTCTCCTTGAACGTCAGCTTTTCTTCGGCGGTTGCGGTTTCGGTGCTTCCGTATCCTTGCGATATCAAGCGTTCGGTTGCCTGTTCGTCCTCGGATTGATAGAGTGACTTCGTATTTATTCTGCCATGTTTGTAATCGGACCATAATTGCGTCGCGTCATGTCGCATTCCACTGATTCCATGCTGCCGAAGGTATTTGAAGAACTTGGGTATTAAGGAGATCGCGAATATCGAGGTATTGAGGTAAACGATAAAGAAAGGCTTGTTGTAGGTTTGGTCAGAGAACATGTACTAAAAACATGTGTTAGCTTGAACATGGAGGCTGCTGTTCTGATGCTCCTACGCTGGCGATGAAATTGTATAATGTCCATAGGAACACCGTCAGCAATAACAGCGCAAAGCCGAGGGTTCTTCTCGCAACACCGCCCAAGCCCAGTTTCGCCCTCAACCCGGCTGGTGATCTTGATCTCGATTCGAGTAGCGGGCTCGAAGGTTCTGCCACCTCGTTCTCATCTTGTACATGCTGTCGCTCTTGCGAAAGCGATCCCTCATCTGATAAGGTCGACATAGCCGGTGCCATCTCTTATCTCCAATGCGAAATCAGTTTCCTCGGATGCGCGCAACTATGCGCGTCTCGGCCGAGTCGCGATAAGCGAAGATGTTGGTGATGCCAGCGCAAGCGACCACTGCGGCTTTGAGAGTATTTCGATGGTTGTGCTGAAATGTGGGAGGGAGATAATATTAATATGATTGCGGATGTCGGACGGTTATTGAATTCCAGGGTCCTGAGCACGCAATTAATCTAAGCGGGGATCTTGGTGACACTTTGGGGTAATCATTCGCAAGTTTAAAGATAAGGGTTCTATTTGAGCCGGTATCGGGGGTGGTTCATTCCCACCAGTGAAACCCTATTCCGATATCACTTATACGAACATCACATAAAGTTGACCAACCAAGTCAGACCTTTTTAAAAATAAAAATAAAATGGAATATATATAATGGCTTGGATAGCGACATTAATCTGATACACCGAGTTCCTGGTCTCTAATAGAGTGTTTCCTGACCTGGTGAACGCAAATAGGGTAGCATTTATAGACAGAATTGAACATCGATAAGTATGGATGCGAAAGGTTCGATGACCTACCCATTTCTTAAATAGACCAGAAGGACCAAGCTCTCTGCTAGTAAAGGCAGTAAAATATGTAGTGAATGCGGTGTATTTGCGAAGGAATATATAGGGTAATTCGAAAGGAACCAGCAACACTAGCAACAGGTAGATAGACATATTGGCCAAGTTCGCAGACCAACGATAGGAGTAGATTTAAAACAGATCATTCTGTGGTCTCAAACTCAAAGTCTTGGTCTGTTTTTATTCGAGTATCATCCTACTTATCTGAGGGTGTTGACAGGGCGGTGATACAGCAAATACCAAGGATAACTCGACGTACCTACCTTAACCTGACGGATGTATATAATTTCTCCCTTCTTCAATCCGGAAGAACCAACCAAACAACTTCCTCTCAGTCTTCAGACTCGATGTTTGCTATGCATCTGCATGTATCCGTTGTGCTTGCCCAAATACATCCAAGCTCCCGGTTGATCTTCTCGGGAGGCCCAGATTGATTCACTAACCTCCCAATCATCTTCAACACTGTCAAGCAGCGCCGACGATTTACTTTTAAAGTTATCCAATCAAAGCCTTATTTTCTGCTATACCTATGCCCGTAGTTCGGTTTACTGCATCCCTTCTGCCTATTTCTTTGACTCACTCTTGAACTTTGTTGATTTGTGGCTAAAGCGTGGCACGAGTTAAAAGAATAGTTACCGCCTGCTCCCAAAGCATTCATGCCTCGCAGGAAATCAAGAAAGCCCAAGGACTCTGATACAATGGCAAAGTATAAAGAAACCCCGAAGGAGAAAGAAAAGTCTACCTCGACCCGATGCCGGCCTAAGATTACGCGCAACATACCTCATCGCGTCTCTCCATTGAACAGAGTCAAGAGAACCTCGGTTCTCTGTGTGCCGAAAGGAGACGAGATCCTGAGCTTTCTAGTTGACGAAAATCGCATGAACAGAATATGTCCTCCCTGGCGCCATTTCAAACTCCTGGGCGGACGCAAAAGGATGGCCGACACCAGTGGCATTGACTTTGGGAATGAGACTGCTAAGGATGCTCTCCGAATAGTCTTGGACATGATCCACGGCAAAGAGGTGATGAACTATGAAGATTTCAGCCCTCGCCTTCTATTCTACATTCTCGAAGTTCATGCCTGGTTGGGACATCCGAAAGCCATTTACAGCAATTGTACCCTTCCAACAGCGATCGGAACTCAAGGAGCACCATTCTCTCCATTTTTCGACAAGGAAGCCATCTCAAGGTGTATCTTTGGCATGGCAAGAAAGGATAAGTACCTGTACCGGGTGAAAGACTGGCTCCTTCTGGCTCTCGTCGCCGAAAAGCTAAGACTTCAGGACGTTATGCAGTTGATCCGCGACAACTTATGCCTTTTCTGCAGAGCAGATAAGAGGGAGTTACCCGAAGAAGCAAGAGATTGCATCAAGGATAGGGATTGGGCCAGGATACAGAACCTCAGACTTATTGGTAAGTGATATTCATCCTTTTGTATGTTGACTGTTGAGCTAATTGTGCAACAGACAATGCATTGCTGTCAAAGCGTGAGTTTTATGTCGACAAAATTATCAAGGGGCTACGTCTTCTTTCCCACCAAGTCCTCTATTTTAATGGAGGCATTCTTCCCAACGAAAGTATCTTCAACACATACCAAGACTATAGAGTTGCAGCATGTTCATATTGCCGATCGCTTTCGTCGGACGAATTTCACCGGGAACTCATCTCAGCGCGGTTATGGCCGCTGTGTGCTGAGACTTACCAAGAGCGCGTCATCGATCTACTTCACGCAATCAGAGATATGGAAGAAAGGACACTTGTTGGAGGGCACTGCAACCAGTTAACCCATCTTTACGATCACCTCCGACAGATATGTTCCGACCCGGAGCGTTAAGGAGATACTGACCGGTGAACTGGGTGATGAATTGCCGGGGGCGAAATGGTAAGGCGGGAAGGAAAAGATCGAATTGACGAATACCTTAGTAGGTAGTCATGAATTTAGAGTTGGTAGTTTGTAGCTTTTGCTAATTGATTGGTCATTAAGGCCAGCTTATGACGAGAACACCATGGCCTGAGGCTCCATACCCTTGCCTTCAGCCAAAACTCCCGCCTTTCTCAAGATGGATACCGTGTTCTGAATAACCTCAGCCCGGACACCCTCAGTCTTGGTAGGGAATCGGACAGTCTTGAGCCACTCTCGAGCATCAGGTTCTGTATATCCGAGGCTGCTTGAGATGTACGCCACAGCTTCCTCCTGATTGTCATTGAAGTGCTTGATACCCTGATCCAGCTTTCCGAAAAGATCCCTGACGCGTGAATCCAGACCTTGCTGAGTGAGCTTTGTAGAAGCAACGATCTTCCAGCTACTCCAGGGTGTGTAGATCTCGCCAACGCGACGAATCTCACCAGAGTCGTAGAACTTCTTGGAGGTGAAATGCTCCCACATGAAGAAGTCAGCCTCGCCGCTGTTGACGGCATTTCGAAGATTCTCAAAGTTATTGAGAACAACTGTGTCGGAGAAGGGCTTCTCTGCAGCACCGGGGGTCAACCAGCCTTGCTGGTCGGCTAGGACAAAGCCCATCACGTAACTTCCTGAGCCAATGCGTGAAACACCGATCTTGCCACCCTTGAGGGAGTCAACAGAAGTGATCTCAGGGCGCTTTGCACCAGTAGAGATAGCCCAGCCTGTATAAGTCAGTGACTATATCATTGTGATGGGGAAGAATACTAACAAAGAGGTGTCTCGACATATGTGCCAACGAGACGATATCCACCATCACCCTCAATACCCTCCTTACCTAGACCGGCAATCCAGCCCTCAGTCAAACCAACAGCTACATCAATCTCACCACCTCGAATAGCAGTGACCATGTGGCCGGTGCCCGAAGGAAAGGGAATCAGCTCCGCATCAAGACCAAAATGCTTCTGAGCGAAATAGAGGGGAGTTGAGAAGTGCTCTGGCACGTAGCCGATACGAAGAGGAGAAGACATGACTGAGATGTTTGATATATGAGTTTGAAGAGCCTATGTTGACTGTAATAGACTATAGTACTTCGGGTGTCGTTGATTCTTAAAAGAGAGAGACCGGATCCGGAGTCTACGGATGCGGGGTTTCATATACGGCCCCGCAACGGCAGTTGGCGGCCCTGCGGAATAGAGTTTCTATGCATCACGGCATCTGCCATTATCCAAGCGGCATAATTCATGATACCTTCCGATAAAACATCGATATCCATTCTAGATGTGACATTTAGAACTTCGTTGGGCCCCTGACTATTCTCGGTGCTCAGGCTATGTGCAACAAACTTGGTGCATAAGGAAGACCATTAAGTCAATGCACAATACGGAGCCAATTCCGCCTCGGAAACAAATTTTGTAACAAGAAGAATCCGATATAATACGCGTACCAGCACGGACGGTCCACGCCTAAGCCACGTAACAAAAACAGCCCTACAGAGGCTCAGCGAACAAGAACAAGGGGTCGTCGGTAGCTTTCCAACCCCTGAAATCTCTGAAGCTGTGAGCCAAGAAGCTAAATCTGGGGGGATCTGATACTTGAAATAGCCTAGTCAAATTTCAAGTTAGCTCAGCCTCCCTTGATTATTCTGACGTCTTCTCAAATTCCCTTTCTTTTAAAACCAATCTCAGCCATCTTTGGCTTCTTCCAGGCCGGATGGCATTGTCTTGGGTCGTTCCTTAACCCTTTCTTATCAATATGGCACCTCAGTATCATCCTGTTTCTAGCGATGACGTGGAGTTGGAGTCTCATCTGGATGTGCCTCTGCTTGATCTCGAACCGCTAGAAGATGATGCAGTGAGCGATAACGAAAGCCTTCATTCTCATTCAGAACCGATTCCGAGTTATCGATTCTCGCGATGGGGTGTTCATTCGCCGAAAAGAATTGTCATTTTGATCGCTGCCATCAAATTTGCTGTTGTTTTGAGCGGGATGTTGTTGCTTTTGCCGACTGTGCGTTTGATTGAGGATATGTTTTGTCATATACACTACCAGGATACCTCTACAGACATCATCGATGAGATGAAGTGCAAGGTTGATGAGGTCCAGTCTCAGCTTGGATATTTGTATGGCTGGAACAGTCTCATCAACTCTATTGTTGGTGAGTGGTGTCCCAGAAAGATAACTTACTCAATACTCAGTGTCTAATACTTTCTCAGGTCTTGTCGTGGCATTTCCTTACGGAATGATGTCCGACAAGATAGGACGTAAACCCACTGTGATGTTGGCATGGTCTGGCATTGCTGTGTGCTTTCTTTTTGCTCCGTTCAGCATGAAGGCGTTTCAAGGCGAGCTTCGAGAAAAGCCCTATCTTTTGATCGTGGGAGGTTTCTTTCAGATATTCGGCGGTGGCATTCCGGTAATGTTTTCTACCCTCTATTCGATCGCAGCCGATGTCAGTTCGGAGGAAGACAAGTAAGTGGACAGAATAACATTCCCTACGGGCACATGCTAATATCACTTCCAGAGCCAAGCATTTCTTGTGGCTTACGTTTGGTGCGACTTTGGGAGGCATTTCAGGGCCTATCATTGCAGGCGTCCTAATGAACAAGTACGGACCTTGGGTTCCTGTTTACTTGGTCTTTGCCACCGTTCCAATCATCATAGGCATCCTCTGTCTACTCCCTGAAACCTTGACTATCAATCTCAAGCACCAGAAAGCTCAGGCGGGCAAAAGCGCACCAACTACCTTCAAGGGGCACATCTCACATGCTGTCAAAGACCTCAAGCATTCAGTTAGCATGCTCAAGGACCCAAGTGTTCTCATGATCATGGTGACATTCTTCGTGACGAATGCACGGTTTACGGCTTACACGACAACTTTAGGCCAATATATCAGCAAGCATTTCAAGTGGAAGATGGCTGAAGTGAGCTTGATTCTGTCTCCTCTGGGAATTCTAAATCTCATCATCCTCGCTGGGTTGCCCAAAGTATCGGAGATTCTGGTGTCCCCTCGATTTCGAATGTCAGCATTTGGCAAAGATTTATTCTTGACGCGAATCTCGACCGGAATCCTCGCCTTTGCAGCCTTTTGGCAAGGCATGAGTCATAATGCTGTCATGTTCCTCTTTGGTCTCTTCATTGGGACGTTTGGCGCGGCCGACAGTCCTCTGGCTCGCGCAACAGTCACGCACTACGTGCTACCCGAGTATACTGCTCGACTGTATGCCTTGATAGGCATGATTGAGGTGATAGGGTCATTTATTGGAGGACCAGTCTTGGCTTGGTTCTTTGACCAGGGTCTGAAGCGAAAAGGAATCTGGATCGGACTGCCTTGGTTTTATATCTCGTTCCTCTGTTCTCTGTCTTGGATTGCGCTTTTCTTCGTTAAGCCACCGAAGAAGCGCTCAAGAGAAGATCCAACAGACAGCGATGGCTACGGAGAAGATGATTATATGCCGGATGATCCATTGCGACTCCAGTAGTTGAAGGACAAGGAACAAAGTCAACATTTAGAGGATATGTTCATTTTAAGAAACATGTTCATCTACTATCTGAACTGAAAGATACCCAAATAGAATGCCTTTATTTTGTTACTGCTATATAATACTTCGTGGCGCTGCAACTTGTGAGGAATGATACTCTTCCGATTTACGAATACATTTATGTCTAGTTACTTAGTTATCTGGTCGCGATGGATGTGTTTATCAGTTACCTTCCGAATAAGGCCATGCCAAGGGACTTTTGCAAGTCGGCCAGCAAATGATAAACGTCAGCCGAACTCGCAAAGGAAATCGTCCCAACAAGGATTTTGATCCGTCTCCTCATTTTAACGGACTCTATTCATCCGAGATGCTCATTGTTTTGCGACGAGCTGACCGATGCTGCCAAAAGTCGAGTCTCGAATGCGGCACAATCTTTGTTACTATAGGAATGTTGAGCGTGGTCAAGGTACAAAACTGCATCAAAGTCGTTCTAGATTATCTGTCGTGGTTGCAGAGTAACCATAATTGCGTACGACTTGTAGGGTCTGTGCAATTGGAGCTGATGCATGCATGAGCAGGGTACTACCACGCTATCGGGTCCACGGATATAAGGTCTCAGGGACGTCAACTCCATTTATATTCCCCTTGGCTTGCAACCTTCTGCATCCCAAGAGGCCAAGAGGCACTCAGGTTTGGCCGTTATGGACGGCTACAACTCCACGGCCTGTGGCGATAGCCTCTTCGGGCCCAGCGTTTGGACCGAGGGTTGTCGCGGAGGATTTGATTTCACCTGTGAGCACGCCAGGGAACTTGACGTGAGCAATTGACTAACTGTGTCTCAGTATCATTCCAAGAGAGTATCCTCAGCATCCTCCCATCTGCTATTTTCCTTGCAATTGCTGGCCCACGAGCCTTCTACCTCTTTAGAAGTCCAGACAAGACCCAACGTTACGCCACATACACATTAAAGCTGGTACACTCTTATTTCTTTTCTCTTTCATTTTCTTTTTTGCTAAAGGAATACCCAGATCACTTCCGCTATATATGCCGTCTTACAGGTGGTTTTGTTGGCTTTGGTTCCATCTGCCAAGAAGCTCAATACACGCTTCTCACTAGCTGCGGCCATCCTCAATCTCCTAGCAGCTTTCGCCATTCTTTTGTTGGCTCACGTCGAACATGTCAAGTCTGTTCGACCATCATTCATCCTTACTGCATATTTGTTTGTATCATTTCTATTCGACGCCGCTCGGCTTCGCACAGAATGGCTCATGTCACTAAACGTCGCGTATGCCGCAACTCTTTCGACCTCAACAATCTTCAAATTGGCCTTGCTTATACTAGAAACGGTTGAGAAGCGCAAGATATTGATATCAGCTGGAAAGCCAATTTCAAAAGAGAGCACAAGCGGCCCCTTTAGCCGTGGGTTCTTTGTTTGGTTGAACTCACTGCTTATCTCAGGCTGGGCTACTGTTCTGACAAACAATGACCTGCCTACCATTTACGAGAAGTTATCCTCAGAGAAGCTCGCAGTTCGTTTTGGCAAATCGTGGAAGAAAGGTATGATACAATAGTACAACGAAGCCAACACTTCTAATGCAGGACTGCAGCCACTTCCAAGAGCAAGAAGCCTTCTCTATTTCTGACAACTGTGACTGTTTTGAGATGGGAACTGCTGGGTATAATACCACCTCGTATTGGAATGATCGCCCTGAGCATCTCTCAGCCCTTTCTTGTCAGCAACGCATTGCGATTTCTCACAATGCCCGAGTCCGACTCGACACTGAACTTGGGTTATGGTCTGATAGGTGCATTCGCCTTTGTTTTTATCGGCTCTGCGGTATGATCACACCAGGCGATGGATGTAACCCAAGCTAACATTATATAGCTACTCACAGCTTGGTACGAGCATTTAACATTTAGAGCTGGTGCTATGGTTAGAGGGGGTCTCATTACCATGGTTTACAGCAAGATGATGAAACTTCCTACCGACGACCTCGGCGAGTCTTCAGCTGTCACACTCATGGGAAATGATGTGGAAACCCTCATTGAGAAACTTCACATGCTCTTGGTTGAATCCTGGGCCAACACTCTCACAGTTGGTATTGCTATGTACCTGCTGGCAGCACAGCTTGGCGCTGTTTGTGTTGCTCCTATTGTCACAGCAATCAGTGAGTAGTTCTATCTTCTCAACCAATACACTCTAACTGTGTAGTCTCCCTCCTTCTTACAGGTTCTATTGGCAAGATGATGGTTGCTCGCCAGATCAAATATCAGAAGGCCACTCAGGACCGCATCAATCTTACTTCTGAGGTTCTCGGCTCAATGAAACCAGTCAAGATGCTTGGACTGTCGGAAAGATTCAGCAGCCTCATTTCTCAGAAACGAGATGAAGAGATCAAAGCCAGTAAACACTACCGCGTGATCAATGTTTATCTGAACTGTATCAGTGAGTAGCTCCGGTCTAGCAGATATTCTCTTTGCTCACCCTTCTAGCCAACTGCAATGTAGGAATGACTGAAGCGATCACTTTCGGGGCGTATGCCCTTGCGGCAAAGTTCGGAAACGGCGAGCCGTTCTCTGCAGCCCAAGCTATCACGGCGTTGTCTATCTTGGGTGTCATGATGGATCCTCTATCACATCTTCTTGGAAGTATCCCGGGATCTTTCTCAGTCTTTGGATGCTTCAGAAGGATGGAGGACTTCCTCAACCTGGAAGAGAGAATTGACCGCCGCCAAGTTAATTGCCGCTCTAAAAATACATCTAGGTCATCTACGGAGAGCTCGCAACCCTTCCAAGAAACCATCCAGGCGACTCCGTTGAAAGCCATCCCGGTCGGAGCCGATGGAACTCAAATTGTCATAGAGGATGGTAACTTCCACTGGGGCGAGAAGGCTGTGCTCCAAGACATCAACACAACTTTCCCCAGTCACAAGAATGGTTCACTTACCATGCTTGTCGGCCCAGTCGGCTCCGGTAAATCGAGTCTGCTGAAGGCTATTCTGGGCGAAACAACGTCTTCTATGGGTAATGTGTCTCTGAATACATCAGAAGTCGCGTTTTGCGACCAGACTCCCTGGGTCATGAATGCGACCATCCGTGGCAATATCATCGCGGAGTCCAAGGGATACGACAGCGCCTGGTTCGAGACAGTCATCAATTCTTGTGACCTGACCATTGACTTGGGAAGGCTTCCCAGAGGAGACCTTACCCAGGTCGGCGAGCAAGGAGTCAAGTTGAGCGGTGGACAGAAGCAACGAATTGCTATAGCTCGTGCCCTATACTCTAGGAAACCTGTGGCCATCTTTGATGATGTATTTAGTGGACTTGATAAGGTGACTGAGCAGATCATCTTTACCCGTGTCTTCGGAAAGGGTGGCCTCCTTCGAAAGAACGGTACTACTGTTATTTTGGCTACGCATGCAGGTAAGTTGTTACTGATGAAAAATGCTTCAGTCTTTTGACGTCCGTCTAGTGAACAGGCTCCCCGAGTCTGACTTTGTTGTCGTCCTCGAAAAGGGCGGGAGACTTGTTGAGCAAGGAACTTACCATGAGCTGCGATCCGGAAATGGTTATATCCATGAACTTGACATTTCGAGCCACGACGACCACGATGAGCAACCTTCTGCCGAGACCCAACTTGCAGAGGAGAGTGACAAGGCCCATAACAAGGACGCGGGTGAAGATGAACCGAGCGAAGTGCCGAGTGATCGAACCGTATTTATGTACTACTTCAACGCCAATGGAATACACAACATGCTCACCCAGATATTTCTTATCGCCAGTGCAGGGGTAATCACATCATTTCGATGTAAGTTCTCTATCGGATAAAGTCTGCACACTCCTAACTTGTATCAGATGTTTGGGTTACTTGGTGGGGTGATGGAAAGGGTCGTGACAGCAGAGATATAGGCTATTGGCTCAGCATATACACTGTCCTATCTGCTTTCGAGGGCATCCTTATTACGCTTGCCATTGCGTGGGTGAAGCCAACTGTGAAGATGAGACCTTTGCTGACAAGAATTCAGGATGTTCCTTTTGGTTTGCGCACCCGTCAGTGGAAAACTGCTTCATTCACGGCTCTTGAACGCTGCCATGGGTGCCCCCCTATCCTTCCTTCACAACAGCGCGGCAGGATCTCTGATCAATAGATTCAGTCAAGATTTACGCCACGTTGACATTATTCTCCCTATGGCCTTTTCCATCTTCCTCTTTGGTGAGAGATATACAAACATCACAGTTGATATTAGCTAATATCACTTATAGAGGTTGCTGCATGCTTCGGTGCTGCTGGTCTTGCTATGGCAGCTGTCAGCTGGTTTGCCATCTCGATTCCATTTGTGATCGTTGTGCTTGCCCTCATCCAGCGTTTCTATGTCCGAACATCCAAACAACTCCGTCTTTTAGAGTAAGTAAGACAAGCATACTGTTAGTTGGTTGAAATGTGCTGACTCGCAGTCTAGAATCGAACACAAGGCGCCGCTGTTCTCACATTTCCTCGAGACCATCGACGGACTCGCCACAATTCGAGCCTTTAACTGGATTCAACCGTACACTGACAAGGCGTTGAGTCTAATTGACGATGCCCAGAAGCCAGCTTATCTTCTCAACTGTATTCAACGATGGTTGACTCTGGTCCTCGATATGGTGGTAGCATTCTTGACGATAATTCTTGTTGTTTTTGCTGTAACCCTCCGCGACAAGATTGACCCCTCGCTATTGGGTATCGCACTGGTCAACATGATGCGGCTTGGCACCAACATGAAGGGAATCATTTTGAATTGGTCCCTCCTTGAGACATCACTGGGCGCTATTGCGCGCATTCGCATGTTCTGTTCTTCTGCGCCAAACGAACAAAAGTCAAACGAAGACAATGAACCAGGGGAATTGTGGCCTAGGCAAGGCAGCCTTGAAGTCAAGAATCTGGATGTCAAGTATGAGTAAGTGGGATCCAAACCAACAAAGGCTTTGTCCATCATGTTGACTCTATAGGCAAACTACTGAACCTGTACTACGCGGGCTTTCGTTCAGCGTCAAACCCGGACAAAAGCTTGGTCTATGCGGTCGAAGTGGAAGTGGCAAGAGTTCTTTCGTCCAAGCCCTTCTCCGCATGGCAGAGATCGTCAATGGCCAGATCACTATTGATGGGCAAGATATCTCGACGGTTCCTAGATATTTGATCCGCCAGCGTTTAAGCTGCTTGACTCAGGATCCATTTGTATTTGACGATACTATCCGAGCCAACCTTGACCCGTGCAATACGGCGTCAGATGGTGAGATCAGAAGCGCCCTCGAGCGGGTTGGTATCTGGTCCGTCATCGAAGCCAAGATCGACGACAATAAGGATCCTCTAGATGAGAAGATGGACGAGAACTTTTTGTCTCATGGTCAGCGCCAGCTGTTCTGTCTTGCAAGAGCGTTGTTGAAGAGAAGCTCCCTGCTCATTCTTGACGAGCCGACAAGCAGGTAAGTCATTTTTATCAACCTTGAACTTTTTCTTGTTTCTGACAATGTTTGCAGCGTCGATACACAAACAGACGCAAGGATGCAAGAGGTCATCCGTACCGAGTTCTCGGACTGTACGATTATCATGATCGCTCATCGCATTGATACGCTGCTCGACTTTGACAAAGTTGCCGTGTTAGACAAGGGTTCGTTGGTTGAGTTTGGAGCTCCTCAGGAATTGTTGAAAGACGAGGCTGGTGCATTTGCCAGATTGTACAGGGCGAATAAGGGGAGGAAGACTGAAGAGCAGTGAGTGAGTGTGTGACACGTTTGGGGCCGGATTGTTTTCTGCGTAGCACCCCAGTCGTAATTCAGAGCCCGCTGCTGTTATCAATGATGGTTCACGCCGGTGATTCTACTAGTTGAAGGCAAACTACATAGCTAAATCTCAGTCACGGACATGCGCCAGCGAATCACGGCCTCTAGTGAAGAGAAAAGAAGAGAAGAGCAGTATAAGTTCATTCCCTCCCACCCATTCTGCCCTTCACTCCTCTATCGCACCACCAACTTAATCTCTCAGCTACAATCACCAAGTCGACCAAGAATGTGCCAAGGGGTCATCTTTTGGGCACGGTGTCCTGTCTGCCGCATTCGACACGAAGTATCACGAGCATACCGCCCCATGTGCGAAGAAGCTGAGAACACAGACTTGTGTACTTACGGCGCCTGTGTTTTAGGCATTGACTGGGTATTCCGGCAAATCAGTTCAACTGGATGGGGCTGGGATCGATACTGCAGAGAGTGTAGGCCTCGGCGTAGACGTATCTCGCGCCTGAATAGGAGGCTCGACAGGACTGGCAGAGGGGTGAGGGTCCATAGAGTCATCTATGCGCCACCGGGGTTGAGTAGACAGAGTAACGAGGATTTGGAGATGGGTCTGGAAGAGCAGTGAGATACTATCCGGTCGATAGGGTAGAGTGGCTTGTTCCAGACAGGGTTGATCAGGGGCTAGTTTGGATAGTGTCAACGGGACAGCATCTCCAAAATATGACATGTCTGTTGCAGATTTCAATTCATAAATTAGATTGTGGTGTTATTCTAGACTTACGCGGCATCATCACAGTATGTTCCGGCATTATTCGTTCTTTACGTTCTTTTCGTGATAGATCACAGTAGGACGTCCCATATTCCTGTTCCCACCTACACTGTTACAGTCCTTTGTCTATACAATCGGTTGTGAGTCACGGACACCTCGCAGCAGAAACGAACAAAGAATTTATTCACGTTATCATACAAAAATGTTCGGTTGGTTTTAGAACATTCACTCTCCTGAACTCCTGGATATGGAGCTGCTCCCTGTCGGGCGAGTGACTGTTGCTTCTGCTATATATGCATCCTCAAAGCCATTCTCCTTTCAACTCCCACCACAGAACTACAAACCTCTATCAACAACTGAAGAAAGAAACGACCCGAAATTTCTATCGATTCTTTCATCAACTCTTTCATCAATCCACAATCAACAATCAACCATGTGTGTAATCGAAATCTGGTGTCGCAAGTGCACCGTCTGCCAACACGTCGATGAGATCGAATACTCCAACCATCAGGATGGCTGTGGGACCTGCACTGTAGTTCGCACTACTCTGCCTGAGCAGTCTCTACAAGGTGCAAACGAGAACTACCGCTGTCGAGGCTGTCGATCCAGACACGCTTATGAGAGCCATCAACTCAACAACGAAATTATGAAGACTCGTGGGGATAACAAGTATGGATATACCAGGTAAGCAAGTTTCCTGATAGAAAGTCAAGGCAGGAAAGTAGATCATGTGATGATATTGCCTTTTGGTGTATCATCGCGGACATAGTATCACGCCAATACAGTATCACAAGTTGCCTTTGAACACTACTAATTCCACCATCGTGCAGTGACTGAGAATAACTCTGGAGATCCCCCAGTGGCTCACAGGCCAAATTAGACCCTGATTCACTGCCCCTACGTGCAAACAGATTATCATGGCCGCGCGTCAAGGCCGTTTGTTCTCTGAACCACCTCCTCATCTTGTCTCTTTTCCATTCTTATATTCCCTTTTCCTCTCTCATAGATAACTCATACCCTCAATTTTGCTTTTTCTATAGATATCGTCTATCAGCCTGTCTATCCCTCGCGAGATCTCTCCTCCGGATCCTTCAACCTACCTACCTATACACCATGTGCCAAACGCTCGTCTTGTACAGAACCTGCGCGCACTGCGATGGCCAATTTCGCCTCTAGGAGACGGCGAAGTTGCTCCCAGATTGCGATGACTGCGGTACCTTTGGACGAGGTGCTTGTAACGACGGCGTTACTCTGGCGCTAGAACCTCATGCCGATGACCCTTTTCGCACGTTTGTCTGCGATGACTGCGGGTTCTATAGACGACGTCACCAGGCAATGCTCTGGTTCTCGCGCATGAGGCTGTGGCCTTAGATGAGGCGTTGCTGCTGGACGGACACCTCTGGAGCTTGTATGACTGACTTCAAATCAATTTGTGTGAAAGCCTCTCGACCAAGCAAATATTTTCATATGCCAACATCTCAACACTGGAGGGAATAACAAGAGAGGGCTGTGCCCGAGAGCATCTGACAGCAAATTCTCCTATCAACTACCAACTAATCGGATGCTTTGGATAGCCTTGCACCTACATAAGGTAAGACAAGGTAGCTCATAAGATTCTCAAATGCTGGTAGCTGATTTTCTACTCTACCTATTCAGGGGGTTTTCGCCTTGATTGACAAGACCCACAGATCACGAGAATTTGACCAAGAACATATACATTACGACGAAATGATCCAGCTGCTACATCAAGACCGAAGTATCTATCGTTTTCTGAGAGATTGGTTGGAGGCTGTCAACCCAACTGGCAGGACGGGTCATAGTTAGAGGCCATATAAAACAGAACACTACTATAGAAATAGAGCCCTTTTGTTGAATCGAGTTTCCTGATGTATTTCCTTTTCTTTTTAAGAATGAACCACTATCAATAGTCCCCGTCGAAAACAGTTTGCAGTAATTCATAAGTTGTATGTTATTTCCAACAGTTGTATGATGGCAATGCTATTCAAAACGCGGATCAACGCCTTCAATGATTAATATACAGCTGGCAATCTACCAGTCATGAAGCAACTCCCTAGCAGCAATGTTTATCCCCTTCCGTCCACGTATTTTTCCTTCTCTTACTCCTCATGACTGCCCCGCATTATCGTAACATGTATGAGAGATCCGGCAGATCTCGAAGAATATTCGCGACGATCTCGTCGTCTTTGAAGGGCTCAACGACTGTTTTTGGTCGCGGAGGGACAGGTAGTGATACCGGTCGGGGCTTTTTAGGAGAGGCCATGTCTTTAAATGTGTCAACTGGCGTAGGAGCTTGTAGCTGTTGGCTTGCAAACATCCCATCTTCCTTTGACCTAACCGGCTTGTTGGAATCATCGAGCAACCCTAGACCCCATGAGTCCCATGCATCAACCTTATTTACTTGCTCGATTGGCGTGTTGGCTGTGTTTGATATCAGGTTTGCGGATGCAAGACTTGCCAGGGGCGACTGAGGGGTTCCCAAATCAAGTGTTGTGGATCTTGAATGATTGGGGGCCAAGCTCTTCATAGGGGAAGCAGCCAAATCGACAGTAGTCGATCGAGAGTGGCTCAAAGCTTTGCCTTGCAGCGCTGAAATGTTCCAGGGGTCAGTGGGCGTTTGAGCGTGGTTAGGTGCAGAGCTTTGAGGAGGTAAAGGCGGAGCGTCCATGGAGGGTCGGCCGTTGGTCACTATTTCGGATTGCGGTGCGCTCTGGACTATGTCATCCAACGGACTTTGAGCTGTGGTTGAGGGCTGACTGCTATGGTCTTTGTTGTCATTCGAGCTGGAATCCACGATCGCATCCATGGAAGTAAACCCGCCGTTTGTTTCAGCTGTGGGTGATGAAACCATGTCGCCCCAATCATCATCATCGTCATCTTCACCCCAGCCTGCGTTTGTTGGAGGTTGTGCTAGAGGGGATGTGGGTGCTTGCGATACCGATACCGGTCGGTTTGTTGATAGAAACGAAGGAGGATTGAGTGGAGAATGTGGTTCCGAGATCGTAGGCGACGCTGGGAAATGTAAAGGTTGCGTTATAGAAATAGGTCGGTTTGTAGGTTGTAATGGTATAGGTTTGATAGGAGAAGGGGGCTCCTCGGTGATACATGGCCTTGGAGGAGATACCAAAGGAGTCGCTTTTGTCTTTGACACGGGGGATGTTTTCGTGGCCTCGACGGGCGACGTTTCAACTGATGACCTCGGTTCACTTGTGGTCGAAGTGCGAGGCGCAGAAGAGGGTGCAGCAACAGTTGGCGAAGGAATGGGGTTGCCGCCCCATCCAAACGCTGCAACTGTAGGCGACGGGATGGTTCCTTTGGAAGCTGCTGAAGCATGTCTCGAATGATTCTTCCTCGCCAAAAGTTCAGAGATTGAGATCTCGGTGGATGGCGCCGATGAATCCCAGTTGAAGATCTTTGCACCAGCGGCACCACCTCTTCGGCCGAGAACAACACGGCCCGTGATCGAGTCTTCCTCCATCCATCGCCTGACAATTCTGATTGCCTGTTCACGCACCTGGGAGTTTCCCCAGCCAACGCGAACATAGTTCTCGTCGTCTCCCAAGTTGTGCTTCCGCATCGAACCAGGTCTCGACATAAGATACCATGCTTTGCGCTCCGAGATGGAAGTGAAGCTATCGTCGATAATGACATCAGGAATCGGCTCCGGGGATGGGAAGCTCGCTTCGACTGACGGGAAGATATTATCAAGCTTTGCCATGTCAATTGCGAATGGTTCCAAGGGTGGTTTTGGCGGAGCTAGGGCTGGTTCTTTGGTAGTCTCTTCATGGCTCGTCGTGTCAATTGTTGCTGCTGTTGGCTGTTCTTTGAAAAATTCAACTTCAGGTTGTTTAGCCTCGTCTTGTTGTGCCTCCTTCATTGGTGACTCGAAATCCGACCATGAGTCTGAGTCTGTCTGCCTTTGGGCTTCGTCCTTGGGTGACTCTGCAATCACATTCTCCACCACATTCTCGTCTTGATCTAGGGTTTCTTCAGACACGATCTCGACTTTCGCGTCTGGCTCGGATTGAAGTTTTGAGTTCTCTTCCACCTCCTCTTCTAGTCCAATTTCAAGTTCCTCATTCGAGTATTCCTTCAATTCCTTCTCCACCCCGACCTTCGTTTGTAATTCCCCTTCAGTCGCATCTGGTTCGTCAACCTCCATGCCAATCGTGACATCCTGCACCGAAGCATTGTCCGATACCTTCCGCATGGATGGATCAATAGGCGAAGCACTATGGCTGCTCTTTGCCATATCGTCGTACATCTCCACCAACTCAGAAACCTTATTAGAAGGTTGTCGCAAAGCCGGCGGTCGTGTTCCACGTTGCAAAGCTGGTCTAGGTACTCCACTCGGTGATTCCGGTCGACCTTCATCGTCGATCGGTAAAGGACTTAAGCTCCTATTCGAAAGCGCTGGGTCTGGTTGCTGCCAGATATCTGCTGCGTTCTCTTTAAGTGACCGCACAGGCGATGGTGTCCTTGTCGCAATACGCCCTAACACCGGTCGCAGTCCGTCACCCAGACTAATCGCTGAATCTCCGTTATCCTCCTTTCGTAGTCGTGCTGTATTGAACGTTGGTGAGTGTCCCCATGGAACCGGGGCCGGCGATGGTAACCTCGAACCAGCTGGACTACCCCCTATAGGGCGCAAGCCAGGACTTCTGCCCCAGCGTGGGCTACTATCTTTACCCGCCTCGGCCCATCCGCCCCATGTATCATCATCTTCGTTCCATGGTGTGTGAGCAGGCGAAACGCGCTGTGAACTGCCCGAGTGGTCTGCAGTGAAGTGCGCATGTGGTGGTGGTGCGGGAAGGTCTATCTTCGGTGGCTCGTCGTTGGTCCAAGGGGAACCCCAGGGATCCTCCATGCTGGGCGAGCGCACATGTCGCGCTGCCGATGACAGGAGAACAAAAAGAGATAAGCAATTCGAACGAGCGATGTTATTGTGATCGAATTATCATTGCGCGCTGTCGAAGGAATGTACTGAGGCAGCTGAGAAGCTTAGAGTTCCAAGGCGCAAGAGGCAAGCTTTCGTAATCACCTTCAAGATAGAGGCAATGGAAAAGAGGGTTCAATGATTGAGCGCCACGAACCGAATATATACAGATACGGTTTGACTCGTGGCTTGGAAATCGACACGAGGCGCTGAGCTTAACGAGATGTAGAATAAATCGTCAAGTTGTTTTGGTTTGGAGGAATGAGGAACTGTTCCAGAAATACGTTCACTATTATTCGTGGAACCTGAATCTTCAGGGGGACGCGGTCCCCCAGGTCTCTAATTTGGCCCCGCAAGCTTCCGTCATCACTATTGTACCAGAAGCTCAGACAGAAATGAGACTCCTATTGCTTTGAATTTCCAAAACAGTCACTTACTACGACACAGTGCAATAATAGGTAATTGTTGTTAGATTGGTAATCTTTTCACCAACTCGAATAGTATGAGGGTATCTACTCCATGTCTATCGCATGCAATGTCAGATACCTCGACATCGTCCTGATGCTTTGCTGTAAAATTGCACATCAACCTCCTTTTCCTTCCCAATTAATTCCATGAAGCAATCCCAAGCAGACCTGTCACTCCGACGCTAATATTCAGCCAAAAAAAATATCATGTCGTTCCGATTCTCCCAGTCAATACTCATGAGGCAATCTCATGTCCACTCTTCAGCGCCCACTCCTTGGAGCGTCCTTTACCGATCTTCTCTGCCACCAACTCTACGGTATTCTTCACCTCAGTGCGAGACACGTCGTCCCGAAATTGATGGTAGAGAAAGTCGATAATTCCAACTTTGGACAAAGCTTTGTTGCTCAAAATAGCTCTCTTTACGTCATCAAGTAGCTCAGACTTGACGAGCTTTGGTGGATCACCACCAGTGTTGCCGTTACTGCCTGTCAAAGCTGAAAACGCGTTGGCAGGCGTAGGAGGAGGGGGCATCTTGCTGCTCCCATCAGAGGCCGCTGTGATTTTGGTAGGCTTGAGTGTCTTGTTCTTGACTTCAGGTTCCCAATATTCCGTAGAGAATGGATCAATGCCCCAGGCCTGCTGAAGTCCATCTGGAAATATGTCAGTAGATGCTCATTCCACTCAGGTCCAACAACTTGAGATTTACCATGCATGAACTCCATCCTGTGGTCGTAGATAACTCGATTCGCCACTGTGCTTCCATTCTCAAAACAGATCCCGGTGCTGTCTGGTTCAATGGTGTTTGCAAAGATTCGTCGAGATAAACCAGCATCTTCCGAATCATCAAGAAACTCATCCATGTCATCTTCGTCGTCCATCTCCTCTTCATCATCGTCAACATCGAGATCCTCCCCTTCTTCCTCCTCCTGCCATTCGGCTTCTGAATCATAGTCGTAGTCAAGAGGCAGTCGTCTTGCTGTTGGCGTTCGGGCTAGCTGGCTCATGTTGAGCCTTCCAAGTACGAATGGCTTGAAAGTCACAGTTCCATAGTAAGGGGGGCGCACGTCTTGTGAAAACGAAATCACCTTCATGGGTACCTTGGAAAGCTTCTGGCGGGTGTCTCGCATGATCTTGTCAACATGCTCAGGACCCGCGTTTTCTGCCTTTTCTGTCTCTCTGAAGACTTGCTCCATGATGTGCTTAACTGGATGATGGAGTACGCCTCGTTTTTGAGGCTTGGTAGGCAAAGAAAAGAGTCGAGCTGGGTCGAACCGAGACGGGTCCAACTCTCCAGCTCGTCGACCGTCGATGCATTCATCCAAGATCTTAGATTTAACCTCCCGTGTTTCGGTGTCCATCTCAGGCCCAACAAGGGCAATTCGTGTGTTATCCTTAATGAAAAAAGGCTTGAATATTCTCTCGTATTCGGTCTTTGGTAGGTTGTTCGCGGGTTTTGCTGGGCTAGGGTCTCCTGGTGTGGCATTTTTAGGTTGAGTAATGTCGACAGTCTTCTTGGGAGTGCTCGGAACCTTGAAAAAGGAGCCGAGTGTTCGTTGCTGCCGAGCCTTCTTTTCCTCTTCCTCTTCCTTTCGCTTCTTCTCGTCGTCCTTGCGTTTCTTTTCCTCTTCTTTTTGACGTCGTTTCTCGTCACGCTCTTTAGCTTTAGCAACCTTCTCAGCTTCAGCCTTGGCTTTCTCAACTGCTCGGATAGCTGCTTTCTGTTCACGTTCTTCTTTGAGTCGAGCATTCTCCTTCTCCTTTTCTGCCTTCTGCCTGGCACTTTCCTTATCCCTCTCGGCCCTTTCAGCAGGCGTCAATTTCTTCCTCTTGACGAGAGTGGTAGCAGGTTTCGATGTCGAGTTAATAGTCGTCTGTGTGATTTGTGTCTTGGCTGGTGTTTGAGGAGACGGAGACAGGCGAGGAGGAGTGCTTGTACCAGCATCACTCAGTTCTGACGAAGCTGGTGATGGGGCTCTTTCTCCAGATGAAGCGGAAGACAAGGCTGCAGGCGATTAATATTTACCACAACTGGCACGTTTCCCAGACTTACCAGGTTCTCCGTTTGGTTGATCGGAAGCCAAGGGTGGCAACTTGATGTCTTCTGCAGTGTCCATTCCATCATTATTTCCCATGAATTCATCATGACTTCTCTTCCGGCCAGTAGCCTCGGATTCTTGAATGTTCGGTGAAAGTTCGTAGAGGGGCATGGTGCTTTATTGCGAGCTGATCAGCTCGATTTCGATTCGCTCAAAGCGAAAAGGTTGTCGTATCGTGGGAAATATGAAGATGACGATCAGTAACGGTCTTGAGAAAGGTAGTTGTTAGGTATCGTGAGTATGAAGAGATCATACGACTCAAGGTCAATTAAAAAGAATTAAAACAAAGGCACAACAATCATCCCGTTTGATAAAGCTTTGTTTGAAGCCTGAGGTTGTTTGGAAAGATGTGAATAATCTCTTGGGTAAGGTAGGTGCACGAGATCCGCAGGTGGCATGAAGCAACCAAGTTGAAAGGGAAGCCTCCTCCCCAAAGGAGACCAAAGTTAATGGAAAGCGCGACCCGACGCGTCGATTTGGCGCCGTAATCTTTAAGTGGGCAATTAAGAAACGCGCTGAGAGGGAAGGCGCGGCTAAGCCTCGGCTAGGTGGGTTTCCAGGGTCTGTGTCTGTGCCCCGCGTGGCAGCCTGAACGCCTTCGGCTAACCTGGTATTTCGACAAATTGCCATCCACACCCAACATGGGGATCCCCAGTGATATCATTAAGGGGCCCCGATCTCGTAACAGCAACCGAGAATAAACGATTGGTGCCGCCAAGGGACCAGAGTGAAACGACCAGACAACCAAGTGGACGGTAACGTCACTGGAGCCCTGACATACATATGAGTTTACCAGATATGGACAACACGAGAGGGAGCCGATCTTAATTAGATCCACAGAAAATTCAACTTCACAGGGAGTCAGGCACGGAACTGTCATGGCTGTTTGAATCCCCCTTGTTCTCAGATGAGATCATGAGGTGGTATTAAGCATGCTTTTATCTTGAATCCTGGCTATAGTAGAGGGCAGAGGTATCTTCTTCAAACATTATCAGTATGTCAGTCAACGACAGTGGAGTCCCCGCTCCAGATGCACACTCCGACCATTCAAGAGGTGTAGAGATGATAATAGCGAGAGATTGGAAAAGGAAATTCGTAGGGTGTGACGTCCCTGAAAACGATAGGTAGTGTAGAAAAGCAAGCAGTAAAACAATGCTGGAACGCCGACCAATGCAAGCCACCTCTTGATACGAAGTGTGCTGTAACGAATGATGGAGAAAAGAAGCCTCCTCTTGGCTCACGGTGTCATGATATAGTGGTTCATAGCCAGTTGGAGTTTGTGTCGCGTGAAATATCACCTCAATCAGGGTTGGCAATGAAAAGGCGGCCAGAGGTAAGGGTAGATGTTCGCTCGTCCACACTTCCACGTCTCCTCAGCTCATCAGCTGACTTGACACTCTTCTCTCGAGTAAGAGCCGAGTGCATGAGAGAGTTGGAGGCCAATCTAGGGGCATTGCTCAACTCTCCCACATTGTCGGCGCGTTCACCACTGCTGCCACTCGCCATGCTGCGGGCCTTGCCGCTGGCAGCGTCATCGACAATGTCTTCAGGTGTAGCCTCCACCAAGCTGCCGGTGCGCTCAGGTGTGTCACCAGGACTCCACCTTCGGCTATGCTGACTGCCCATGCCTCCTGATGTGCGGTAGGCAAGGTTTCGGCGGCTGCTGGTTGTGCTGCTTCGTCCGCTGCTCCCCGTTCTACGGTGATGAGGGCGGTTTCCGGCATTTTCGTCTTCGCTGCTCTCAGCCTCAACTTCAGTAGCGCTAAGTCGCATTGGCACACCACCAACACCAACGTGGTTCTCGCCAGGAGCGTAGCCGACAACTGGGTTCTTTCCGTGGTGTCGAATCTTGGGGATCTTGGCGGCGACCTTATTTGTAGTACTCAGGCCGGTGCTTGTTCTTGCTCCGGCTCCACCGGAAGCACTGCGTGATCCACCAACAACCTCGAGAGTTGCTCGCATCTTTGCAGCTCGTTGTTGTGCAAGCAGTCGTGGGTCTTCATACTGGGAGCGATCACACCACACAGTGCCCTTTTGTTTCCGGAGAAGAGCGACATAGCTGGAGGGTTGGCTGCTGGCTCCGCCTGAGCGGCTAGATGTGGAGCGACGAAGCTCGGATTGTGAGGAAGAACGGTAGGCGGCAGGAGGAGGGATGCTCGAGGCGGTGCTGAAAGTATTCACAGAAGGTGAGCGACGGTTCTGCGAGAGATTGGGGCCCGGCTGGGCAAGGTGAGATGTTTGAAATTGCATGGGAAAGGCGGTTGAGGAAGTGGTTCGTGTTCGAGAATGCCCGTAACCCACTGTCTGGTCGATAGGCCCTCTCATGGCCTGGGGTTCCAACATAACCGAAAGGACCAGGCGACGTCG